AGTTGTTATTTAAATAGTTTATTATCTATATCTGTGCCAGTACCTAATCAGTAATCACACATTACTAGTTCCTACCTCGTCCCGCGCTATCTATTTCATTTCTGACGCATGCGCAATAATTACAYCGGGCCCGAACAGGTCTGCTTCTGGCTTCAAACCCGGACTACGCGAGACTAGCTCTATCCAGTAAGTTGTGTACCTATATGATCTAAGGTTATTGTGATGTCTATGAATTCGTTATCATGCGTAGAATCAGAATAAAATATAATATCTTACATAAGTTTTACCAACATTATTAAATTCAACTGCAAAAGGGCAACAATATGATAATCATAACCTGATTATTTTTYGATATGGTTTTTTCCTTAGATATATGTGCTTCAAATTGTTTACACAGGCRAGATAGGCCATGGCTCCATCCATAGTAYATGATCTAAGGTTTTTTCCCTGCTGAATGTATGTGATAATTTAAAATGTTGTGCATTTTTTTATCAATTCTTGACATATTTGTTGATGTTTTGCCGCCGGTTTCGTTATTATACGTACAAAATCACGGTGTTTATAGAAGGTACTATTTATGTGCATTACAATTTTACAATTCACATTGGGACTCGTCGGCTCAACACGACCGCGCGACGGACTAACGGGCGACGTGAACGTCATAATCATAATGCTATTATTGCTATTAGTAGTTTGGCGTTCAATTCGTTGTTATTTTCCGTCGTCACGTGGGTAATTTTATTTTTATTCAACTTTATTGTAATAATTTTAACATATTTTTTTTTTAAATGAGTAAGCTTACTCACACAGATATAATTGATTTATTAGATGAGAATATCTCTGAATTAAGCGATTTTGAAAGTGATACCGATAGTGTTGGAGAGATTGATGAACTTTTAGAAAATTTTGATGAAAACGAAACCTTTGAATTGCGTGACTACAATGATATTGAGAATGTAAATGACTTCCCGGAAGTTCATGTCCCAGGTTGGTTTACCATCGAAAAAAAAAAACATGAAATGGGTACAAAAACCTTTTACACCCCCTAAAATACATTTAAATGAAATAGAACAATCTGACTGTCCCGATGAAATACAAAGTCCATTATATTATTTTTCTAAATATTTCGATGATTCTGATTTTGAAAATATGTCATTTTTTACAAATTTATACGCTGTTCAAAAAAATACAAATAATTTTAAACTTACAAGAGAAATGAAAGAATTCGTAGCTATTCATTTAATGATGGGTGTATTGAAATTCCCGCATATTCGCATGTATTGGGAAAATAATACGCGAATAGATATAATTGTGAATACAATGAATAGAAATCGTTTTTTTAGTATAAGGTCACATTTTCACGTAATCAATAATATGGATATTCAAACTAATAACCATGACAATTGATGAGGTATCTATAAATAATAAATATGCATTAAATAAAACATTTATATATTATTAGTTATTATTAATAGCTAGTATTACAATATAGATATCTGTTTTWAAAATATTGGATTAGATGATAAAATGATTTATTTATACGARTACACATTATATCACAAATATTGTGAAGGAAATTAAATTTTTAGATCTCAAAATAATAAAAACATAAATGTGTAGCGTTCGATTAAAGGAWTTTATTTTTATACCGTTGAGTCCCAATGTACATTATAATGTACTTTGCGAATTCTCCAAAAATAAGTGTGCCAAAATTTTGAAATTCACAGGATCGCGCATAAACACGGTAAATAAAAAGGAAATAATGAAAAAAAAATTTTTTTCCAAAAAAAAAAGTCGGGACTAATAGGGTTAAAGTTAAACATACTAATATTCTTTCACAAGCAAACATATTTAAATGCTTATAACGGTTTACAGGATATCTCGCACGTAGCCATCAAGGATGTAAAATGCAGACATCAACGATTTTCACTCTTCTAATGTAAACTGTCATACTATCAAGTGTACAAAGAAAAAATAAGAACATTCAAGGACTAGTGAAATGATGATGTTATGTCTATAATTTTAATATATTACTGAAGCTGAATGCGATTGAATACGATTTTCGGTAAGGCAATATTTCAAATGTTTTATACTTACTATAATATATAATTACCCATAATAATTATATATCTTCACATTTATTAGTACTAATCGTTTCACAATGTTCTACTTGGTAAAATAAATTGCTCAATAATAGCCGTTCGGTATTTAAAACATGGATATCAATACGTTATGTAAAGTGGGTATTTAGGACTTGTAAATTGAATAATCATTGGTATTATATAATTTACAYCACCGAAGAAAAATAATGATAAAAATAATACAAGGCGTTAGGTGTGCCTACTTGTAAAAAATAATTAATATTATTAAAAATGTTATTTTGAATGCTATATAGATTTGAAATACTGTAAACCAATTATCTACGTAAATAGTGAATTTCCTCGAATATAATAATTATTAATTATTCCTTTAACATATATACAATATAATATATATATATATATATATATATTTATAACGAAGTTATTATTATTATTCATAAAATATAATGAAAACGACAGAAAACTTTGAGGGGTGGTCATGGTAAACGAAACATCGCGGCTATTCACGAGGTGGTATACCGCAAAAGTTTCTCATCACGGACTCTTGGAACAATATCATCTAATAATAATAAAATACGCGTTTTAGTATAATTTAGAAAACTCCGTTAAACTCACGGACCGGTGCACAACTTATATACATAGAATTAATAATTATACGGTGTGACTGTCTTACCATATTTGTCGTCCCACCTACAAAGCATAAATACTACCCACTTATACAACAAAACTTCATAACCATTTGAATACCTAATATAAATTAATAATTCAACTCTTAATATATTCGCAAAAATTAGTCCTGTAAATTGCCCRTCTCAGAAATTTGAAGTAACTGGAAATGGTAAACCTAAAACGTTAAAATAATATACTTCAATAACTTTTAACGTTTTCGACATTACGCGAGTCATTCACTGTCAGCTATAATAATATCTTCMAAGTCCTGCATAAAACTGAGCTATTTCCTGGATCGAGTCTATCTAGTCATCGTTTCGCCAATCATAACTTCAACACATTATTGCTCTTGTCGTATTATAATTTTACGACCAAATTTTAAAATATACATTCGTGTGGTCAAATACAAATTCATATTTTTTTTATAAAATTATATAGATTTACCGATTTCACTCTTGCATTATTTTTACTTTTATTTTTGTTGTTCGTTAATGGAATTCAAAATATATAATTCTATACTTCACAGAGGTACTAGAAGTAGTCATTTTTAATATGATACTCAGTCCCTATATTAAAACTTATACATACATATTCAATATTATTCATACAAAAWACATATATAAATTTAAGCGCTAAGTGTTATGATTAGTTGTCATGTTCTAAAAAACATATATTTTCACCTATATAGGTAATATAATTAAATTGCACTTAAATAACTATGGTATTTATGCGATATTTCAGTTCGCAGATGGATCAAACTGTCGTCAACGGTTCGGTCGCAGCGGCCAACGGCACCACCGGCGGCGCTCCGGGATCGGTATCGGGCACCAACTGGACCACAGCGGTGTCGGACTTTACGCCGGTGCTATCGCCGTTTGAGTCTTGGCAGAAAGTCATCATCGTCCTGGTCATAGGCGTGTGCATGGTGCTAACCATCACCGGTAACATACTGGTGCTAGTGTCGTTTATCGTGGATCGGACCATCCGGCAGCCAAGCAACTACTTCATCGCATCGCTGGCCGCCACGGATATGTTGATCGGTAGGGTGAGCGTGAGATCTGAAAAATGTGAAAACAAATAGTCAAATGATATAAGCACCACTCTCACTCCTTACCGGTGTCAGTTCAGAAGCTAAAATAGTCACCAAGAAACAATCACCACGTACACTAATGATTCTCAAACTATCTTAGGATGACGATACCCTTCGAAATGTGTTTTCCAAATATAACCTTAAATCGTTTTTATTTAATGTCCCGAGAATGCATCTAGAATGAGGTAGGTATCACCGCCGAGGGYGTCCCAATAAAAAAGGTCATATTTTTGACGTAGGCTGAGTGCATCTCAATTAATTTAGAGTTCCCTAAGGCATACTAAAAGGAGGTGAACTAGCTATTACAGCCCAAAAGTATCTGGTAATTATTATTCATTTTTTTTTTTTTTTTTACTCACGTCTCACACCCATTTTTAAAGCCTATTATTGATATTTGATAGGTGAATGTCCTAATTTATAGATTATAGTCTAGTGTTT